AAGGGGCAAGACCAGTTTGTCACTTGGACATGGCTGTAACATCGCATCGGCTGGACAGCATTTCAAAGTTTGATGCTGTAAATAACATTTTTATGCATTTGAGAGATTAAAATATTATAAATAGCACAATTCAATTCAACGGCAATATCACAAAATATTTAAAAGAGTATATCTTAAGAATTTCCGATACACAGTCTCGTGCGCTGGAGAAAAACAATTTTTTCCCGTACAGTATTGCTATTACTCATTTTGAAATCGTTGAGTTTCTTAATAAAAACGCTCATAAACGCTTTACAAAATATGAAGCAGATAATAAAACAAATTCCAAATTTGGGATTCCAGATTCCCATATTTGGGTGGAGACGTACGATATTCAAAATTTGATGGACGTAGGTACCGTGGTTTTATCACAGTGTGAGAAACATACATACAATTAAGACACAATAACACGCCGAATAAATACTAATTCAGAAGTCAAACAACAAAAATCAGCGTTATATTTACAAAATTTTCACAGGACTAGTTTCGATGGTTTTACCGAACCATCATCTTCAGCTGCAAAACCTCAAATCATTTGCGGTTTTGCAGCTGAAGATGATGGTTCGGTAAAACCATCGAAACTAGTCCTGTGAAAATTTTGTAAATATAACGCTGATTTTTGTTGTTTGACTTCTGAATTAACATACATACATTTATGAAGATTCTTCATTATTTAATTTCTTTAAATATAATACAAGGCTCTAATATTTGGTGGCAACAATTTAGAAAGTTATTCGCCATTTATAGTGAATCAGTGCAAAATGCCAAAACGAAATTCATAGCCTTTCTGGGTAAATTCCCCCTTTGGGCTAATAAAAGCCTTAACGTAGTCAACAAAAACTGACAAACACAGGTAATCTCTCTGCAGACCATGAATTAAGTAATCAAATAAATTTCGAAAAATTACTGGTTATTTGTTTCCGATAAAGGCCAAAAAATTAGGATATAAAATGAAGGTTTGAAATCTAGTGTAATATTGTTCTGTTACTTATATTGCTTTCTATTAGTGATTATTATTTACGTAAATGTTAAGTTATTATTTTGATTAAATCATCAAAATTTGTTAAAGGTTTTTTTTCAGTTTGAAACTATAAACGTTTCGTATAATATTTTCTGAATATATAAGCTATGATTAAAAATTTTCTGTAAAATTTGTGGTGTTATGTTTTAAAACTATTACACTTATTGAACACAGAATGGACAATTTTACTAGCACTGTACGCAGGAAGGCTCATGTATCCTCCTTGCCTCAAGTGAAAAAATACGAAGGATGGCTTTTGTTATTGCTTGAAAACTTCAAACATAAGATATTAAGACTTCGTTCAATATAAAATCAATTATTTTGCTAAAATACTGCTTTATCACAGACCAGCTGGGAGCATTTTTTACTCTGACAGTTAGCATACTGCTTTGTAATTATACACGTAACTTACACAGATTCTTTCAAGGGTAATTGTTTTAAAAGTGTATTAAAATTACATCATTCATAACAAAAGAGTAACGTCTTTATGTAATATTTCATAAAGATATTTCAGAGCAAGAAAAAAGCAGCAGCAACATTTCAGTGAAAATCTTGAAAGAACGTTATTTAGGAAAAGCATGAACAAATTGTGTAATATATGTGCAGATAATAAGCATTTATTTTTAAAATGTTTGTGTATAATTCTTCTTTCCTTATCTATTGGGATCTGCAACATTTACGAAAGATCTACGTTTTATGAAGATCTTACGTTTTATGAAGATGTTTTATGGAAACCATACGCCAAATGGAAGAGGATAAAAAGATCTGGATTGCTTTGATAACTTTCAACAACAGCTTATTTAATAATATTTTCTGTTAGACTTGAAATTCACCGATCATTTCTTTACTGCTGGTATACATCTGCATACCGTTTAAACCAGTATTTTTTTGTTTTGCTCCTAGGGCTAATTAAGATGATGTAAAGTAAGGTGCACTTGCACCATTACCCTGAGGCGAAGAGTCGGCTGACAAAGTCATGAGATAAAATTCAGGTAGAAGGATAAGAATAAATAATGCGATTAATAAATTAACATGAAAAAAGTATTAAGGATAATGTAAAGAATTATCAGAATCCTAAAGAATCTCCTATGGCTGATATTATTACTGAAATCATTAGTTTATAACTATACGAACTGAAAGTTTGATATGTAGTTTTTTTTATAAGTTGTTCAGCTAATTTCTCGCTGTGTTCAACAACCATTCCGTTTCAAAGACCATTCCGTTTCAAAGAATATTTAACTTTCTGTGAAACTGAATTTCTATTTTTGACATACATTGTTTGATTCTTGAAAGATTAAACATCGAGTTAAAAATTAGAACCATGCAGAGAAATTATGAAAATGCAAACCCGCTATTTTTGTACTTGTAAATGCTAATAACTTAAACATCATACATTATTATTCCACATGCGCAGAGCTAAATTACCTATTTTATGTATGAGAAATTAGAGCAAAATGGACAAAACCCTTACCGTTAAATTAGGAGGAAAAAAATGAAAAAACATTGTAAAAAATCAATTACTTATCAAATTCTGTTTGTAAATAAAAAGGATAAAAAAGCAGATCTTCGAAAAGCGTAAGATAGCTAGCTGACTTCGAATACATGCCTGATGAAAACGTGAGGAGTATTAGGAATTATTTCCCATTTGTTATAAACTGCATGTTTTCTGTGTTGAGACTCTCCTTAATAGAAGAAATTTCAGCTTACTAAAAGCATTTTTTATACACTGTTTTACAAACAGTTTTGCTGGAGATCAAAGCATTTTTTATTTGCAAAATATTCTATGAAGCATATCTAGAATGAAGCTAGAAACGTCCGTGAACAAAGAAAGAAAAGAAAGAAAACATTTAGAAACTGGTTATTTGTTAATATGAAAAATTTTAGTGAAACAAATTCTTAGTAGAAAAGAAGATAATTGCGCTACTAAAACGTTTATTTAAACAACAAGCTGTCATAAAGTATAATATTCTAGATGTTATCAGATATCTTGACTCATATGGGTTAATAGGCAATGTTCTTCTGTTAGCGGCTGATAAATACTGAGATATGAAGCTATCATCGCTAGGATATCTGATAACATCTTAATGATAATTATTTCCAGCGTAACAACAGGTTACTAAAATCCATAGTAAAAAATAACTTTCAAAGGTCTTCTTTAGAATTAATCTTACTATAATAAGTAAAGCGGAATTTAGAATGCAATCCGCTGATATAAATTTGAGGAGAGTAAGATCGTTTTCCTAATATAATTTCTTGAGATATAGGCTAAATTGTTGAAAGGAAATGTAAAGTTTTTAAGTTAAGCTTTCTCTTTGAATCTCTTTACGCTATTTTCATCACTCATTCTTGCATTCTTCATTTTACAAAAAAAGTACCTTTTGTTACTTTTCTGTTTTTGATTTAAACTGTCTATTATCACGACAGCTATCAACTGTCTTTTCATATAAATGATCAGCAAAACGCCTGATTTTATGTTATTTTGTCAGTTAATGTAAATCAAGTAATTCAAGGCAGAGCTTAATTTCTAAAATTAGAAATGTCGGAGTCCCATTGCAGGTCGTCAGGAAAGGCGGAAAAAGTAGTAACTAAAATAATTAAATACTTAAACTAAAATTCATTAAAATGGTAAAGAAGAAATAAAAAATTTAAGAAATTATTAAATTAATAATAAATAGCTAAATAACAAAGTAAAATATCAGACCTCGTTTTATTTGGGGCTCTGCCTGAAACTGAAATTTCAGTCAGAATTATGAAGTAGCTAAGCCAGCCTCCAGCTGAATTTAAGCCTTCAATATACATGTGGGTGGGGCTTTTCCTTGCTTAAATGTATGAATATCCCTCAACGGGTTTGTTTCCAAAGGAAAGACAAACATTCATTCAGAAGCTAGAATCGATTTTTAAGGCTTACTTGTCATTAAAATAAAATTAATCTGTTGAAATTTGGTTTCTGTTACATAAAAGAAATGCCAGAGCCCTTTTATTTAGGGCTCTGATGCGCTCCGACTAGAATTACGATTTATGTCCGATATTGTTAAGTACCAGTATGTCAGTATGCAAGTGGGCATCGGTGCTATTTAAGCTCTGATCCCAAGCCCTGCTTAGAGTAATCGAAGGCAGTTAAAAGATGTGAACTTATTCTGCGAAATGAGCCAAAACCTTTACCATTTTCACCCTGAAAATTTCTTTTCAGCATGAAATTTCTCTTCACTATTTGAGTGTGCGTTTCCTGTGTGTGTTAATGACTCAACGTGTCATAATTTCTAATCTGCTTTATGACTTTGGAAAGATGGGCGTTATCATGAAACATATACAGGTCAACATATCACTGTTAAAAATCAAACTTTAAGTAACACACAGTAACGACCCATCAGAAGGCTATAGGATAAAGCCGTTGAAAACTGTTGTTTAATCCGTGTTTTAATCTCAGAGAAAGAATATTTATTTAGAGTATTTTCCTTATAACTAAAAGCATTTATTTTTATATTTTTTTCTTTCGAGTCTTTTCTGATTATAAAATTCTGTATTTCTGTCAGATGGAACTTGACAGCTTTACTTTTTTGGGACATTTCACTTCCATACCTAAAAGTTCTACATCTACCTTGTGATTTTAAATTTTTTGTTTTACTTGTAGCTAATATAAAATATGTGCGTTTAACATAAAAAGGACTATAAACGAAATGTTTGCATTTAACACAAAAAGACCTATAAATGAAATGATAAGCTGATGTCCGTTTTATACTTTTTCTTATCAAAGCTGCGTAAGAACTATTTGATCACTGCGTTATCATTTTATTATTGCTTTATCATCTATTTGATCACTACATTATCCTGTATATATCACTGTATCCAAAAATGCCTAATGGTTTCAGTTTTCTTTACCAGTTGATGAATATCTGAAATGAATTGCGTTAAACTAAAGAAGTTAGTTTTGTAAAAAAAAGATTACTTTATATTTGGTGTCAGACGTGTTTAAAAAGGAGGCCGAAAAGGGAAATAAGAACCGTGAGACCAATTTGGTATTCTGGGAGTTACTCACTGAAAATACAGAGGAGTCGTCAGAAGGCTAAATTTAAAATAATACGTACTTCGCAAAAAAAATAACTTTTCTTGAAACATGCAAGGTTTGCTGTTGATGCAACAGTCTTGATTAAACACCTGGTCAACTTATCTTTTTGAAACGCTTAAGTGCTCCTTTCTACTATTTACGTATACTCAGTGGAGCAAGGTCATGTGAAGATCTTTATTAACTCCTCTTCAGTCTTGCGTGGAATTTTAAACTCTGAAAGGGAACAGAAAGTTTGCAACATCGTCATAAGATTGTAAGTACATTTATGGGTAATATAAAGCTGTATTAATAATGACAGCTGATTCAAGAAAAAGTTTTTTTTTATTATCTATGTCAACTCGTTAGTACCTTAAATAATCAAGAAGCTATTGTAATAGCTTTCTCATGTATTAAATGGGCTTTGTTTCTATGACCTCTTAATCTCCCAAGCAAACCTTATGACCCCACAGACAGAAAATTCTATTTAATGTCTTCAGTTGCTTTAGAAATATTTGATATGTTACGTTTTTAGAATTTACTCTTTAAGCGAAGAAATAACTCTGATCTTCAGAATTCTAACAGAATTGTTGAAGGCAAATGAATATTTCTGAAAGTTCTCTTTCATAGAGGGTTCGATTTGAATTCTAGAGGGTTCTAAACCACTTTATAAGATATTTCTCATGCCTTCTCAGCATGCCTTCGTGGTGTAATGGTCAGCACGCTCGGTGCGTATTCGAGAGGTCAGTTGTTGGAGTCCTGCTTTGAAATAACCTAATGTCTCTACATAATATAGTGAACTCGCAGTTTCTGAAGATAGTAGATAAATATCATAATACTGAAAATAGAAACTATTGAAACTTAAACTGAAAAATCTCTAAAAGTGCAGGCTATAAATTCTGATCATTGTTAGTTTTGATAAAAAATACAATTCTTAACAGCTGTATCGAAATTTCAACGTCGAGTCAAATTGATTCAAAAACATCCTTATTTTTGCAAAGTTTTTTCTAATCCTGTAAAGATGCTTCAGGGAAAGCTTTCAAACTTTTCCTCACTTGTACAACAAAAATGAAAACTTTTACATACCCGCAACTTATTTCGGACTTTAGATTATGGCTCAGGGCTGTCTATCTAAACTGAATGTTGCCTTTGTAGAGCACATTTTAAGAGATACTGGTTCATATTTGCACATTACACATAAGAGGAACCACGGGAAGTCCCTTAAAGCCAACCCGTTCACCAAGCGGAACCCTGTTCAAACGATCAGCAATCAGTGATGTCACCTCTCGGACGTTGGTGGACACATGACTTATTTTGTTACATTAAAATTGCTGGAACGTTTTTTTGGACAAAACTTGATATTCCACCCAGTTTGGGATAGCTTAGCATGGCGGCTGCCTGCATTTCTGTCGAAAAACAGTGAGACGGCAGGGACACAAGGTGCCCACTATCGAAGGGCATGTAACGATAAAAAGTCAAGACCACTGAATGCTCACACGTAGAATACAGATCATCACCTTCATATGGCTATATATTAACTGCGCTGTTCGAGCTTATATCAGATATTTGTGACACTATTTTTCACCTTCGCGGCAAGTAAGAATGATTCAAAATTCTAACAGTAATTAATCTAAAAAATTTTTAACATTCTAATTTTCCTGTTTATAACCTACGTTTAACATCAAAAATAAATATTAAAATTAGATTACATTATTATATTAAAATTCATTACATTATTATTTAATATACTTTCATATCGGAATATTATTATAAGATTAAAATTACATTTTTGTTCTTATTTTTAATTTGCTTTAATGACATATTAACCTCATACGAATATAGATTCAATTTTCCCCTAAAAACAAACATATCAATATAATTTTGGGCATAAGCTCTTTAAGTTCTCAAGCAAATACTTTGAAAAGTCTCAGTTCTTTGCATCAGGAAATCAACCCTTTGACGATTAAATTTAATTATTCCATATTGAAAAAATAAATTTTATAAAAATGTTACATTCGTTCATGTTGGTGATATGCATTCACGTTTTTGCATATAACAGAGTAAAAAGGCACACAGTTAAAAATATTAATCCGTGACTTTAAACGATTATTCTCTGCATCATGTGTTTTTCATGGAAATATCCGTTTATATAAATTACCTTATATTAACTCTACTTCTTAATTTCAAAGTTCATAATTTTTTAAATACGTTTGGCATTTTTTGTATTAAAGTTGAATATTATTATACGCATTGAATTTCATAAATCATTATTATCCTTTATATCTTTACATTGATTATCACAATACACAGAATCAAAATTTTCATATCCATATGAATTCTCAAAAATATTTGATTATTATTCGTGCTTCATATTTATTTCATTTCCAAAATAATTTAAAACTTTTACCGCTACTTCAAAATTATAACCATTATTAAATTAAATTTTAATTAAAATTTTTTTAATTCTTTATTTTATTTCATCAACATGAATATTAAGAAGTAGTTTTCCAATTGCAGAAAACTTTAGTTTGATAAATATTTTCATAAAAGAAGAATCTAAAATAAAGACAGGTATTAGCAGTTTTCTATTTGATGATTATATTAAACATTTTAGTGGGACTAGTAATTAATAAATTAATTCCTTATAATAATATTTCTCTCGACAGGTGAGTGTCGCAAAGATATTAAAGTCCACAAATCGAAGAGAAATTGAATTTCTCAGGAAATAGGGAATTAGGATTAATTTGTTTTGAACATGTTTTTCTCTACTAACTATGGATGTTCTAGGAAATTCTAAAGTTTTGTTTTTCTGCGTGTAAACTTATAAAATTAATTATTTTTATGCAAGATATATCTCGCAACAGGAATTATGTTGCAAAGAGATTTGGTGAAATTAACTGATTATCAAACATAGTATTTCACTGGAGATTTAATGAACCTTAGCCTTTTGTTTGTGAGGTACGTTTGGGTTTATTAATTGGCTTTGAATCGCAATATCTCTAAGCAAGATTCTATAGAAATTTTATATTCCTTTGTAAGTAAATTAGGTAGAATAAATTACTGTTTTACTCTTCTACAGGCAATTTCCGGGAGAATAAATTAATATTCAATCATATGTTAGTTCTTTCAACTGATATTCAACAAGATTCTAGTTCTTGCCCTCTACAGGCCGGTACAATCGAATTTATTTGATGTTATTCACAGTATCTTTCATAAATGGCGTTGGACAGAAATCGAGATTTTCATTTGAAAACTGCTGTTTTAAAGAGGTGTTTCAATTGTATTTTTCAAATGACATATATCTGCTAAACAACAAAGTTTTGCAATCCATTTCATTTCTAAAATCTCGTTTCTCATGTCCCCCTCAAGATGTAGTCATCATTAAATAATAAGAATACTGATCGCCTATTAAACTTTCTTCGACACTCTTTACGAATTGTTTTGAAATATAACAGCAACAATAAGCTTTTGTGTTGGTAACACTTATACAACATTTATTTAGTATAATGCTCACCATTTCTATGTAGATGAGCACGCCAAAAATTCATTACTCAGAGATTGAACAAAGCGAGTATTTTATCCATTCCCGTTGCTCACGATTATGTGTGAGAAATTTGACCTCCAGATAAAACGAATAGCATATTACATTCATGAGATGTGTATCCCCCAAGGTGGGGAACACTTTCACCTGCTTAGAATTTAACGATCAGATTCCTCTCACTTTCATTGCGTAACATTGCCTGACCTGAAACTGAAATGCTTCCTGGATTTCACTTCCCACATTTACTTACTACTAGATTCGGAGAAGAAATTTTAATAACAAACCAGGAGCCTCTCATAATTTAGAACAACAGTCACATAGCAATGTTCTTAAGGAAATGAAATTAAAATTTAGGCGAGAATTGTTCCAAAAGCTGCCAGAGGGATTGCTAGAAGTCTTCACTATTTTACCTGATATCGAGTGGGATCTTTGTATTCTTTGATGGTGTTCTCCCATTTTGTTGTTATTCGCTTTTTCGTTTAATCGTGACCCGAGCATTAAGGAAAATGAAGAGAGGGAACTGGTGTTACATAACAATAAGTTATTTTGTATGTTTGGCACAAATTGTAATTGTATACGCATCTTATTATTATATTCAAAGTATCTTTTGAGTTCATAGAGTAAAACAATGACTGTTACATAAGAAACAGAAATGGCAGTTTATTTACTTTTTGAGAATCCTATAATGAATTTTAAAATTTTAAATCCAATTTTACTTTTTATTTTTTCCCCTAAAAGAGTGCTGTTTTTAACTAAAAAAACAATGACTCAAGTTGTTCACCATGGATCTTCATTACTCTGGCTATTTTTTTGCGTTTCACGAGATGCATTTTATCATCCGTCTGCCTGTGGGAACAGAAACATTCAACGTTAGCAATTCCTTTCTTAAAAGCGGAGCCGTGTCTATATATGTCTATATGTGTCTATAAATGTGTGTCTATATGTGTCTATAAATGTGCGCCCCCGTATATTAGATTATTTATTTACCTATTTGTGGGGCATGGAATGAATAAATAATACTAAATGATGTTTGAAAACATAACATTATACAAACACACGCAATATATATATAGTATATATATGAACTATTGCATATTGCCTCGTTTATTGGAAAATTTTATACAAAAAGAAAAAAAAAGTGCAATAACTAATTAATATGGTACATTTCATTTTAAATCAACCTTTTTTATTCTTCGGATGGTATTCCAGAAGGCGTTTATGAAACTGCAAAACTCAGAAGTTATGTCGCCGTCTATGTTCAGTTAGTGGACTTTGGCAAGTTTGTTATGACTAAGTAAAGAGCTGAAGTCAAACTAATGAGAGACAGCGAAGAACAACTATTGTCGGCAATATAACATTTTCTATGAAAGTTTAGTATATACAATTCGCTACACCAAGTGTAATTAGTTCTTAAAACTACTTTCAATAATAAATTTTTATATTAGAAAATATTACATACACTACTGTGAAAGCTCATGTCTTGTGAGAATAAATTAATTAAATTACTTTTTCTTTTCCTTTTTTTAGCTGGGTTGTTTGGAACACAAAATTCTTTTAATATTGGCTAAAGTATTCCGAAATTAAAAGTTAAAAATCATAAGTTTTAAAAATAAATTTCTGATTTTTTGATCGAATAGCTAATTTGGCGTCCCTTCTGTTTTTCACCTGAGACAAGTGCTTCTCCTGCTTCGCCCTCGTCGCGGCCCTGCTTAAAAGTCTTAACTAATCACAAATGC